AGCAGGCGGCGCAGGGGCTGCAGGGCGAGGAGGAGCAGGGCAGCCAGGCGGGAGGTGACCGTGCAGAGGCTGCAGGGTGAGCGGGGGAGCAGGGGGCGCAGGGGCTGCAGGGCGAGGAGGAGCAGGGCAGGCAGGCGGGGGGTGACCATGCAGAGGCTGCAGGGTGAGACTCTCAACAACCTGCAGCGGCGGCGAGCTGCCTCCATGAGTCTGCTGCTCCTCAGCCTCCCCCTCCCCTGCCGCCCCTTCCCCTCTGCCGGGGCTCGGCTTAGCGAGCCGGGCAGCTGCAGGCGGGCGGGAGCCTCTTCCTCCTCGCCGGGGAGCCGGGCAACCAGCCGCCGCCACCTGCAGCCCGGGAGCGAGTCAGGCCGGGGATGGGGGCGGCAGTGTGGAGCCGAGAGCCAGCCTGCGGCCGCATGCAAAACCCAGCTCCGGACCCGCTCCCCCCCAACTACGCTACTGCCTGGGACAGGAATTGGGCAGCCCTGGGAGGTGTCTGCAGAGATATCTCCTAGGTGTGCCCTGCAGCGCTATCTCCAGCGGGTGGCCTTGTCCTGAGGGAGGGAGGAAGGGGAAAGCCCAGCGTCCTGCCCTGGGAGGATCCTGCCTCACACAGGATCCTAATTACCATCGTTGGTATATCTGACTTCAGCACGTCTCCACCGTCTCACCCCGTAAGGACGAAGGGAAGGGCCGCCCTGCGTGGAGATAAAGAGGGGAGGAAATATCAATAGTTATCCTGATGAATAACTCCGAGCCCAGTAAGGGGTCCACGAATAAAACTGAAAAGAAAACAATGCCCCTAACTTCCCTCAATCTGACCTGCAGCCCCCTCAATACCAGCCCTGGGCTCACCCCTCCCACCCTCCTCTGCCGGTGCCCCTCAATCCTCACCCACAGCCCCTGCTAGCCCAGCCCTAGGCTGGCTGGTCATGAGGAAGATACTCACTGCTAGGAGTTGTGTTTGCAGTCACTGTCCCTGCGTGGGTGTCTCCCGCTGGGGTGGATGGAGATGGGGATTTCTGGGGAGGATCCTCTGCAACATGACAAGCTCACAAAGGAATGAGATTATCAGGCAGAGCTGGGCATTCCCGTCCCCTTCCCCTGACCTTCCTCTCTGGGCGTCACCAACATGCCCTGTTCTTCCCTGGCTTCCCGGAACGCAATTCCCCTTCCCCGCAGTCTGCAGGGAGCCCGTAACCGGATGCAGGGCCGGCTCCAGCGTTTTTGCCACCCCAAGCAGCAGGAAAAAAAAGCCGCGATCGGTGGCAGCTCTACCGCTGCCGCTTGATTCTTCGGCGGCAATTCGGCAGCAGGTCCTTCCCTCCGAGAGGGGCTGAGGGACCCGCCGCCGAAGAAACAGACATGCCGCCCCTCTGCATTGGCCGCCCCAAGCACCTGCTTGTTGCACTGGTGCCTGGAGCCAGCCCTGACCAGATGGCCTCTCTGGGGCTGGGACACAGCGTTTAGTGAGCCACCTGCACCCGGATTGTCCTGAGGCTTGTGCCTTCCCAACCTTCTCAACCGTCCCTGACGACTGTCCCCCTTTCGGGAGTTTGATTTGTCTTTCGTCCCCCCAAGTTACACCTCACTTTAAAGCTACTTGCTTACAAAATCAGACATCAAAATACAAAAATGTCCCAGCCCACGACTACTGAAAACTGGCTTCCTTTTGCTTTTTATGCAGCCTGTTGTGCAGTCCGTATGTAGAGCAGTACAAACAAGTCACGGTCTGTATGAAATTTTAGTTTGTAGTGACTTTGCTAGTGCTTTTTATGTAGCCTGTTGTACAATGAGGCAAATCTCTAGATGAGTTGATGTACCCCCTGGAAGACCTCTGCATACCCCTAGGGGTACACTTACCCCTGGTCGAGAACCACTGGGCTATATCATTGGTTCTCAACCTTTTTTCATTTGTGGACCCTTTGTCTGTATATACAGTGGAATTCTGTTCAGTCAGTTTTCAGTCTAAGTCTTCCATGGACTCCTGTCGACATAGTTTGTGGAGCCCCAGGCCTCTGCAGACCACAGGTTGAGAACCACTGGTCTACACTGACCCGGGGAACAAGAGGCCCAACTCAGCCTGGCTCATACAAGCAGCATTGCCAACTCCCATGATGTTGTCATGAGTCTCATGATAATTAGTGTTTTCCTTAAAGTCCCAGCTCCTGGAGTCAAGTGGATCTGTGATGATTTCAGCCTTCATTCTTAAAGGAAAAGTAAGTTTCTAGCCCTTGTGGCTGTGGAGAAAGCTTCAGAATGTGACCCCAGTGCACCCTAAAGGGCAATACTGAATTGCTAAGTGTTAGAGGGTTTTCCCTTCACCCTCCCACTTCCCTGGTTCTTGTCACGCACACAGCAAGCAGCAAAAGACCAGAAGTCCGAAGCGCAGACACTGCAATGTTTACTGGGGTTAGTTTCCAAGCAAACATATTCCAAAGCCCTTCCCACCAGTCGGGCTTATCCGAGACTGTTCCCCAGTGTTCTGTTCCTAGCTCTGACACCGCAGAGCGTTTACCCCGCGTCCCCCTTCCCAGTGACGCCATAGAGCTTTGCCTGTGTCCCTGTTCCCCGTTCCCTATTCCCTGTTCCCGTTCCTCCCCCCTTAGCCAGCATGATTCCGATTTCCCTTCCCCCTCTTCCTCTTTGAGCCCAGTGAATATAGTAATATTCTCAGCTGTACCTTAACCAGTAATTTTACTGAAATGTAACCAACCAATCCTAACACATTGTAACATAATTCTCTAACCAGTTATATCCCACTACCCTAATTAACTTACACATAGCAAAATTAATTATTCAGCAGACAGAAACAATTACAGAACCAGACAGATTAAGAATAGAAAAGTGGGGGCCATAAAGATAAAACATACAGAAACGAGGGTTTCACAACCACAACCTCTGATAAGTGAATTCTTGCCAGACCGGATGCTATCAAACTAAGTTCTCTTTAACCATCGTAAGATCTGTTTCTTTATCTGGTGGGGATGGGCACTATCAGGACAGGATCGTCTTCCTAACAGCCCATCCCACCTTATTTCAGTGGGGCTGGTTTGGGATGTGAGGATGTGACCATTCGCTTCCCGCCGTATGGCTGCCCCTGCTGCTTAGCCAAAGGCCTTAGCCCAGGGGTCGGCAACCTTTCAGAGGTGCTGAGCCGAGTCTTCATTTAGTCACTCTGATTTAAGGTTTACATTAATACATGTGAACGTTTTTAGAAGGTCTCTCTCTATAAGTCTATACTATATAACTAAACTATTGTATGGAAAGTAAATAAAGTTTTTAAAATGTTTAAGAAGCTTCATTTAAAATTAAATTAAAATGCAGAGCCCCCCATGGCTTGCCACCCCAGGCACGTGCTTACTGCGCTGGTGCCTGGAGCCGCCCCTGTTTAGGGGCTTCAGGAACAGGACTCTTGTTCCCAAGGGGACGATAGGTGTGGTATTAATCCATGAAATTCCTGGTCCCACCATCCACAAAGGCTGTTTCCCTACTTGGTCCAGCTTCCACACGGAAGTGTCTTTATCATTCCACCAGACGGTGATCAGATTACCAATACCCCAAGTAATTTGTCCTTTTGCACTCAGTTGTCTGACGGGGTAAGGTCTGGACACCTCAAATCTTTTTTTAATTGACTCCCAGCAATACACAGTAACAAGCGGGGTGCGGATGGAGCTTGGAGATTAAAGTGCCATTATTGATTTGGAAGGTTTCTATTGTGCTTCCCTTAACCACTTATCCGGTGTGGTTTTCTGTAAAAAAGCACCGAACCTGTAATATGCAGTGTAACCCTCGTATCCCTTTAATTGCATGGCATCTTTCCACCGAGGCTGTTCCTCTGTTTCAACCAAGTACAGAGAGGGCCCGAATTAATCTCAAATTGGCCCAGGACCTGACCACTCTCCTTTGGGAAATTTTTAATTTGGAGCTGGTTCAATCGTCATCATAACGTGGCTTTCAATTTGCCATTGTTTGATATCGCCGCTTTCATCAAATGCCTGAGTCAGGTTTTGCTGTGCTGCAGCTGCTCCTTGAACGGTGCCCAACCAATATTTAAAGCTGTTCACCCAGGTGGCGGTTGCCAATGCTGTAATTGTTTCCCAATCTGGGGGCTACAGCAAGCTTTCCCAGCCAGGCTTAGGTCTCCCAAAGAGTATTTCATAGGCACTAAATCCTGTCATGCGGTTTGGGTGGCCTCGGATCCTCATTAGAACCCAGGGAAGGGCCACGTCCCAGTTTGTTCCCAGCTCATTACACACTTTAGACAGTTCCATTTTAAGAGCTTTCTTCATCCTTTCCACCTCTCCCCCAGCTTGAGGGTGGTAGGGGACGTGTGACGGTAGGGGAATCCCGGCCCCGGTCCCCATACTTCGGTATCCCTGTCCGATAAAGGTGGGCCCATTGTCAGAATCAGTGCTGTGTGGCAGCCCCCATCTTGGAAAAATTTCAGCTATTAACATTTTTGCAGCTGCAGCACTATTTTCTATTTTTATTTTCTACCCGTTTGCTAAAACTATCCACAATTACCAACAACAATCTGCTTCCCCAAGGAGTAGTAGGCAAGGGTCCTACAAAAGCAACCTGTAAACGTTGGAAGGGGCCTTTTAACGCTTGATGCATTAACTCTCCACACAGGGCTGGCGCTTCCACTAGGCGACCCTAGGCGGTTGCATAGGGCGGCAGGATTTGGGGGGTGGCATTTTGCCACCCTCGGCGGAAATTCAATGGCGGGGGGTCCTTCCGCTCCGGGTCTTCAGCAGAAATTCAGCGGCGGGTCCTTCACTCGCTCCGGGACCCGCCGCCGAAGTGCCCCGAAGACACGGAGTGGAAGGACACCCCCGCCGCCCCCCCCCGCGAATGCTCAGAGGAGGAGCGCTGCCACCTAGGGCAGCAAACACCCTGGCGCCGCTCCTGTCTCCATGTCTTTTTCTTCTAGCAGGGTCTTGCTTACCACATGTTAAATAGCTATGAATATGCAGGTTTAAATCCTCTTTCACTCCAGGCCACCATCCCAGTTTTTTAGTTTTTCTAATGCCTCTTCCTGTTTTGGATCACCTCCCACAACTGAACCATGTATCCATCCTCAAAGGAGGTACTGTATCTGCTGATGGATTTCCAGAACCCATTGATTTTCTGGTTTTGCCAGAATTAGGTCTCCCTCCTTTCTCACGATACAAGGACTTATGTCTCAGGACCTCATCTTAATTTCATTTGGTGACCCCTAGTGTGACGCTATCTGATTAAAATATGACCATATAGATCATTGTTGCAACCACCGTTCTACATTTGCACCAAATCTTTTACAAAGGTTGTCAAGTGAGATGTCTATGAAAAGGTCATGATTTGCTGGTTATGATTATGCTATCTGTATGCATGGATCATTTTTGTATTTAAAGTTATAAGTATTGGCTCTATACCTGGATTTCAAATGTTGGCTCCTGGGGTAATGCCCACAAGGTAGTGCCCAGCTCATCTTGGAGGGACTATTCAAGTTAAGTGGTTCATCAAGAAACACTTGGTTGACAATGTTCTATGGGAGACGCCCACCTACACTGAGTGGACTGTCATGTACATGTGCTGTCTGGAGTGTAGATAATGGCTTCCTGCAATGACTGAGGGAAATTGGGCATGAACATGTGACTTGCCCATGTGACTCCAAACTCCATCTTGTTGTTGTAATTTTCCAAAGTAACAACAATGGGATGCCCTCCACATGGCAAAAGCTATAAAAGGCCCTGGAAACACCTCCAGTTTGTCTTCAATCCTGCTTCTTACCTCTGGAGGGACCTTGCTACAAACTGAAGCTCTGAACAAAGGACTGAATGACCCATCCAAGCTGTGAGTGTACTCCAGAGACTTGACTTGAGCCAGCAGTTTATTCCATCACTGCTACAAGCCTGAACCAAGAAGTTTGCCAATATTATATGTGATTGATTCCATTTAACCAACTGTAACTCTCACTTTTCTTTCTTTCTTTTTATAAGTAAACCTTTAGATTTTAGATACTAAAGTATTGGCATCAGCATGATTTTGGGGTAAGCTCTAAGTTATATATTGACCTGGGTGTGTGGCTGGTCGTTTGGGATCAGAAGAAGCTATTATTTGATGAGACTGGTTGTAAAGAACCACTCATCTCTGAATCCAGTGGTTTTGGTGGTGATATAAGAACCAGGGTGCCTGAGGAAACTGCCTTTATGTTTTCTTGTTAGCCAGTGTGGTGAAACAGGAGTTTACTTTTGTGGTTGGTTTGGTAAATCTAATAAAAGAATAACCACCAGTTTTTGGTTGTGTGTGCCCTATTTCTCAGCAGTTC